CAATGTTAATCTTGTAACCTGCTACCTTGCTGAATTATTCGATCAGCTCTAGTAGCTTTTGTGTGGACCTTTTAGGGTTTTCTATATATAGTAACATGTCATCAGCATATAATGACACTTTTACCTCTTCTTTTCCAATTTGGATCCCTTTTATTTCTTTCTCTTGCCTGATTGCTGTGGCTAGGACTTCCAGGACTATGTTGAATAGGAGTGGTGATAGTAGGCATCCTTGTCTTGTCCCAGATTTTAGTGGGAAGCTTTTGAGTTTTTGTGGTGAATTTCTTAACCTCTCAAAACCTCTGTTTTCTTAATTGCAAAAAATTATGATAATAATTACCCTACTTTGTAGAGTTGTGAGGATTAAATAAGGGATTATCTATAAAACTCTTTCAGAGTGGGTGAGATAGTGTTCAGGGAGGCGATCAGTCTAGCTCACTAGTCAACTGTCAAGCAGATTTCTTGGGTTTGAACCCTAGCTTCAGCACCTACTAACTTTGTGAGTTTGTCTGTGTTCCTCAACCTTTCTGTGCCTCAGTCTTCTCACCTCTTAAAAGGGAATAATCATAATACTACTTAGAAGGCTGTTATGATTAAATGAATTAATACATGTGAAGCATTTAGAAAGACATTAACACCAGATATTAGTTATATTATTGTACATAGTAAGCATAAAAATAACATTCAATGTTAATTATTATTAATTTGAATTATTATAATTACCATTATATCATATCATATTATCTTTGGAAATGAAAATATTTTATAGAGACCAGTAATAATAACACTTGATAGAAAAATGAAAATTTAATTTTTAAAAATTGGGAAAATGAAAGGGAAATAAAAATTAAGTTAACAAAAACGTAAATTTGACTGATATGAATCAGATTCATTGAGTCGGTCTGCCATTTTTCAAACCTTTGGCTGAGTGTCTGTACTACACACTGGGGCTGTGGAGAGGAGAGGGTCACCCTTGGGAAGTATCTGCTGAATGTCTTTGCTGAAAAGCTAGTCAGAGAGAGCAACGTGACACGCTGTGCTCAGACTGGGGCTCTCCTGCCCCAGCCTCGGAGACCCAAGGCTGGTTTTATGTAGAAGAGGGCCCTGAGCTTGGCTTTGAAGGGAAGGCAGGGAAGTGGCAAAGGGAATTCTGTGCTGGAGGGATGAGGGGAGGGTGGGTGTCCTGCAGGAACAGTGTGTGTGCCTGAAACAGAAGATGCATGGGGACAGAGAAGCGTCAAGTACCGTCCAGGTGGACTGACCAAGGGCAGGTGGCAGAGAGGGAGAGGGAAGGAGAGGGTGGCCTGGGATGCACTGGTTCCTGTAGGGAACCTGGAGTGGACGTTAGGTGGGAGAAGGGCTTTGTCAGACTTGGGAGCTACTGTGAGTTGAGTGCAGCGCTCAGGTCCTTCCAGAACAGGGGTCTGTTTCCCAGCAGGGAGAAACAGACCAGAGAACACAGACCAGAGACCTGGATTGGAAGGTGTAGCCATAGGTGAGCTTCCAGAGAATGAGGAACAGAATGCCCTGTAGACAAGAGAACTGTGCCGGGGGAAGGGCAGAAATGGCCAGCCTGAGGCTCAAAGGGCCTGAAAACGGTATTAGGGAAGTCAAGGGAGTGGAGAAATTTAGAAGGAGGGGTGCCTACCAGCACTGAAGGCCTCAGCATTGTCAGCTGGAAGAGGCTGGAAAAACAGGTCACTGAGAAATTATCGCTGAGGCCTTCGTGGTGGCTGTGAGGGGCTGCCAGGAGTTGGGGGCCAAGAGGCCCAGATCCAAGCAAGCTGAAGAACGATTAGGTTCTGGCATGGCAGGAGCTGAGGCATCTGCCTCTCGTGTGACATGAAGGGGAGCAAAGATGCAGGGGACACAGAGGGCCGCTGCGGCCTGTCCTCGGGGGTAGCCTGAGGGAATGACCGCTGGGCGGCCCAGCTTCACCCGAGCAGATGGTGAAACCGCGGCGCTGTTGGGGAACAGCCAGGCATCTCAGTGAGGTGAACGGATTAATTGTCGCTGTGCCAGACCTTGATCGCCCAGGGCTGAGTGTCCAGAGCATTGGCCTCACAGGTGACGAGGCAGAGGGCCTCACTGGCCCGGCCCCTCAGAGGCAGCCGTCACATGTCCACCAACTGCAAATGCTGACACTCCGGCTTTAGTTTAGGAATGGCAAAGAAAGACAAGTTTGCATTTTAGAACCTCTGTGTGTCAGCCTGGAAATGGGGGTCAGAGGCTGCCTCATTTGGATTCCTTGGGGAAACTGAGGCCCAGAGTGACTCTTGGCCTTGCCGTGGTCGGCCTGGAGTTGGTGGCAGACTCCAGCCCAGGAGGGCTTGCTTGCTCCTGCAGACTCCAGAGCCCCTGCTCCTCCTGCCCCCTCCAAGCCTCCCTCTTCCCTCTTTGCCTCCTGCCTTGTGCCCTGTCTTGTCCTCTGGCACCAGATTATCAGTCAGGCTCACCCTAACCCTGAACTTTCTTCCCCCTTTTCCATCTTCCTACCTAGAGCAGTACTTGCTACTGTCCTCCTAGGGTCTTGTTAGGTGATTGGTTAATAAAATAGCTTATATACTAGGATGGAAGAAGATGCGGTGGATATGACATTCTATTCCTCCCAGGCAATACAGTTGCATCTTTAATAAGGGTTTCTCCCCAGTGCATAAGCACACTCTCAGTTTGTAAATCTGGTCTAGATGCCAGTGTCAATACTCCATCAAAGAAAACTTTTAGCTAGAAACATGAAGTCAGGCAAACTTTTAGTTACATATCAGGTGCCTAAAGTCTCTTCTTGTCTGTTACCTTCTTAATAAATTTCTAAGGGAAACTTAACCATCAGCCCCACAAAAGGAGCAAAAATAGTATATCTTTCCAAGGCAGTTATTCAGTGGATGGTGGATAAATTTTCTCTTGGCTATTTTAAGTAGTGGGTGAAAGAAAATTGAGCTTCCTTCTCGAACATGTTGACAGAAGAAATGTTACCGTTTCCCACCAAGTGTAAGGATGCGGATTCCTGGCTTGGGTGAGGGACGGGGGAGTTGAATAGAAGAACATAAAAGGAGTGCATTAATGATTTAGAAGACGGCTTCATTTCCCTACCTCTGTAACAGAGAAACAGAGCATGATCAATACTCTCAAGGTCACTCAAGGTTGATATTTGCTGTGTCAGCTAGTCTTTTTTAGAGTTTCTAAAATCATCCTGTGCATCCATCCTGAAAGGTCTGACTAGATGCAGTGCAGGGAGATAAGGTTTTGAGGGTGGGGCCAGTGACGTACTGGAGAGGGTTTGGGTCTGTGTAGTGGATAATGAAGGGAAATCAACAGTACAATTTCAAGGAGCTGAAAGATTAATTTACTTCAAGATAGAAATTAAGGGATCAAGAGAGAAACCCCTCTTAAGATTGCCAGTCTGCACAAAGCAATTATTACTACTCAAATGAACCCTGGCTCTAATATGGTTTTATTAATCAGTGTGTTTTCTCTTAGGTTATTTCCTTGTCATATTTTAGTTGCTCTTTTCTTTCCAATGTAACATTGCCCCTCTAGGGATTTTCCTAGTAGTGTCTTATCGTATTCTATTTATTTACTTTAGTATTTATTGGCTAAGGTGAGCTTTTAGACTAAAGACTCTCTGACTTACTAATGTTAGAGACATGTGAGCATCTTACCTCTTCTGCTGGATGGAGCAAGTATGATGTTCTCTTGGTATGTTATGAAGAAGGCTTTGATGATTACACAAACCCAACATCAAAATGGCAACTGAGAGAGGAGAGGGGGCCTGTTCTATGACCTCCATCCTTCCAGAAGATGTGTTCCCTTTGGTCACCTCATTATTTGAGGACTCTGATCAAAATATCTGGATGAACACTTCGAGTTAACTGTCTTTGCCCTAATATTTACTTATATTTGCTTATGTCTCCATCAGCCAAGAAAGGACAAACAAATAAGAGCCAGCTACCTGACCCATTCTCTCTGCAACATTCCAAAACAACCGTTGGTTCCATGCAGACTCAAAGGTGGACAGAACCAACAGTGATAACAGTTATTTTTAAAATTTTTTCTCCAGAGAGTTTTCCTCACTGTGGTCACCTAAGCAAGGCGTAGACACCCCAAAAAGTTCCAGAGAACATATGTGGTTTCCAGTCAAAATCCTATGCAAATATTTTTAAATGTTTTCTTGGCTATGGTATTTCCTCTCTATCCATTACATGAAGAAGGATGTTCTGTTATTTATTTAGGAAAAAAGTAAATGGAGAAATTCCTTTTTCTGATTGGATTTTACAGTCCTATGAAGCAATACCCTGGAGATTAGAATCTCATATTTTAGAGAGAAAGGTGTTTTAGAATTATCTCAGAGTTTGAAAGACATCGTCTAAAAAGCAACTCAAGCTTGAAAAATGTCTAGACTCTTTCAACATATGTAGCCACTGGGAGCATGGTAAAACAACTAAAAATGGTTTAGTTTCAGATGGGAAGTTATTTCTTTTCAGCCTGTCCATGAGCAGACAAGCATCTGAGGGAAAGTCTAAGATTCCCAGTCTGGGAAGAGAAAGTTATGTTTACTCCCAGTTCCCATCATTGGATGTGAAAGCAAAAATCTGATTGTCCTTTCATCAAACACTGCTGAATTATTCTCCCAGTTTTAAGTATCAACCATGGCAGCAATTCCACTGTGTAATATTATGAGCAGAGTTAATTATAACTGTTTAATGAGGCAGATCCCAATTTTCAGTAGATCATGACCCTTCATACATTAAAGAAGAGAGACAGTTCACATTTGTATTCAACTGACATTTGCTTAATATACTTCACACAAGTTTTGGATCCACTGAGCTGATAATGAAATAGACTTTGTCCTGTTCATAAAATGCTGTCAGTAAAATAAAAAATACTCATGGTGTCCTTGTCATTTACCAGCTCCCCAATGTCAGTTTCAGGATATTAAGAAAACTCTCCATAGAAAATATCATTGCATTTCTTCAAAGGTCACGAAGTTAGTAAAAAAAAAAAGGCACTGGCCTTTACCATCAGTCAAATTCAGATTAAAATCCCTTCTTTGCCACCTACAATCCTAGAACAATAATAACAATACCGTTTGCTGAGCAATTAGGAGTTTGAGCCATATGAAATGATCACTTTCCTAAGCTAAGATGGCGAGTGGTTAAATAGAGGTCTTTTCTTCTGGTTCTGAGTAATGCGTGTGCTAAGACATCCATCTAGGAGCTTATAGATATGATCTCCTCTGGTTCTTTCAACACAGTCTTAAGGAAGATGTAATTATCACCATTTACAAATGAGAACCTTGGTCCGTCTTCAGAGAGGTAAACTATTGAGGCTTATAGTCAGTGGCTTCTGTAACACACTGAAGACTGCTGTGTCTCAGGAGTTTCTCTTGATGACCCACTTCTTTTCTGAATTACTTGAAAAGGCCAGTGTCCTTGGTCAGAATTTTCTAATGAGAGTGTTTACGGTGTCCTGCTTTTATCTAGAAAAGAAGCAAAAGGGAAATCCGAAAGCAGTACATATAAAACCTGTGCATTGACTTGATATTTGCACTGGGTGATTGTTACTTATTTGATTCAGCTATATTTTACATCATGTATACTTATTCTAAAATGATACTTTTGAAACTAGAAGAGGAAGTCTATAAAGGGAAATTTATTTTTGTGTTCTGAAATTTGAGGGTTTTAAGAACCGACTTTTATGTAAAGAATGCTATTGCTTGTTATAAAGTTGTGGAAATTAAAAAAAAAAAAGCCTTACCCAAGGTTAAGAAAGTTGCTTGAAGTCACAAATTAGTATGGCGGAGATTTAAACTCTGAGCTATCTTTTGACCTCAGTGTTTCATAGCCTCCCTGTAAAAAAGGTATTATGTCCCCTGAGCCTTGATTTCCTTTTCTGTAAACAGGAAGAGCAGAGCTGTCATGAGGATTTGAGGGGACACATATGAAGTGCTTCCCATGGTGTCCATCATGTAGCTCAGTAAAGTGTAGTTGTCATCACCATCAGCACCACCATCAGGGTCTAACTCTTCACTCGTTGAAGGGTGTGTACAGACCACACTCACACAATGAGACAAGAAAGGAAGGCACCTCTGTGTGTGTGTATGATTGCTGAGGTCTCTTCTCTACAGTAACTCCTTGCACAAACTGTAGTGGTTTGAGCCCAACATTTGCTCATGCATTTCGCCCACTTTGCTGTTTTCAAAACAAAAGAGAAATTGGGTGAAAATACCCTCTGGAGAACAGAGGTGCCTGTGACAAATTGGCTTAATTGAAAACAACTAAAAACAAAACAAAAAAATCTCCTGATTTAAGGCGGGTGGAGTGGGGGGGGAATCAAATTAGCCGTGGAGAATCTAAGTGGAGGGTTTTATTGATTGCTGTAGGCATGACCTAAATTGCCGAGTGTGAGTCATAATGAAAGTACTACTATTTCTGCACTACTAATCCAGAGGCAGCATTTTTCCTGTGGGGAAGTTGGGGGTGGTAAGCACGGCCACCAGGAATCTTCTCCCAGCTGTGACCCACAGACACTGCGCTGCTGCAGGACCGTGTGCCTGCCCTGAGGGATTTGTCTCCCCAGTCACAAATGCAGGTGATAATTTTATGACATAAGATTTTGAATGTTTTTTTTCCCCAGAAGGCATTTGATGTACAGCATATATGTGAGCTGGTATTATACTGTTTGTGATATTTTAATGGGAAAGAATTTCCCTGCTGTTCTAGTTCAGAGGGAGGGAGGACAGTGAACCCTCCTGCTGTGTGGGTCACAGAAATGACTACAGAACAGGAGGCAGCACACCTGTGGGCCAGATCTGTCTTTGTGAATAAAGTTTCCCTGGAGCACGGCCATGTCTGTTTGTCATTGTCAATGACTGCTTTTGTGCTATGGACAGCAGAAATGTGCAGTGGTTGACTCAGAGGGAGACCATGTAGACAGTGGAACTGGGAATCTTTATACCTGGCCCTTTTCAGAAAATCCATGCCAGTCCCAGCTGCAGAATATGGGGAGCTTTCAGATAACCCAGAGATGCACAGAGGCAAGTGGGGAGGCTTGGTGGTCTCAGGTGTTGATATGAGCATCTGTTGGGGACTCCATGCAGGAATATTTTAGCGTTCACCTTCAGCATTTGACAGGACATATGAACCACATGGAGAGAAAGAGAGAAAGAGAGAGAAAGGAGATTAGGATGAAATTAGCTAGAAATAAGAATGAGGCATCACCTCAAAATGGGAGCTTCCTCACTCCTGGGTATAGATGGAGAAAATTCTAATTTGAAAAGATACATATACTCCAGTGTTCATAGCAGCACTATTTACAATAGCCAAGACATGGAAGCAACTTAAATGTCCAGCTGTAGATAACTGGATAAAGAAGATGTGGTATATATATGCAATGAAATACTACTCAGCCATGAAAAATGAAATAATGCCATTTGCAGCAACATGGATGGACCTGCAAATTATCATACTAAGTGAAGTAAGCCAGACAGAGAAAGATAAATATACGATATCATTTACATGTGGAATTTTAATAAATGAGACAAATGAACTTATTTACAAAATAGAAAGAGACTCACAGATATAGAAAGCAAACTTATGGTTACCAAAGGTGAAGGGGGGTGAATTAGGAATTTGGGATTAGTAGATACAAAGTGCTACATATAAAATAGATAAACAACAAGGTCCTAATGTATAGCACAGGGGACTACATACAATAGCTTGTAATAACCTACAATGGAAAAGAATCTGAAAAAGAATATATTTACATATATATAACTGAATCACTATGCTATATATCAGAAACCAGCACCACATTGTAAATCTACTATCTTTCAATTAAAAAAAAAATCCTTGATCCTCATCTGAAAAAAGAAAGGTTGGGGAGCTTCCTTGTCCGTTGCCATTGGGACATTTATTTATGGGACAGAACCAAAGCTGCTGATGGGTCTTTAGTTTCCTCTCTGGGAGAGAGTGTAAACAGGTTAAGAAGGCAATTCAGATGAGCTAACCAAACAGCACAACAAAACTCCAAACAAACCAATAATGCAGAACGCTTTGAGGTTGGATAGAGCTGTGTTTTATTCTTTGTTGGAAATTGGGCAAGTTATCCTCCCAGTCTTCTCATCTCTGGTATGAGGACAAAGCACACTTTAAATGAGTTAATGTGCACGAAGTGCCTCACATAGTCAAGCACACGAGAAAATGATAGTTACTGTCCCCCTTTTCACTGTCTGTCTTTCACACGTTTGTAATTGTGGTAGAGGTGGGTATTGTCCAAGGAAGGAAGTTCTGGGCTGTAGAGGGACTTGGGAGGTTGGGGTCGAAGGTGGAATCTAATGTTAAGTAGGTTGGATTCCTTTTCCCCATGTCTTGGTCTGAAACAGTCATCTCACCCTTATTGACGTGTTTCCATCTCGCTGTATTTGGTGAGAAGACAAAATTTCAGTGAGGGAGCACAGGCAGACAAAACACAATCTAGTGAAATCAGTATTTGGGGAGAATGTGAAATCGCCTCCCTAGTCTAGGATTTGGAAACAGCTATGGTCTTTATTTTCCTCTTATTGTTGTCATTTTGGGTAAACTCAGCAAGTTCAGGAATCTGCCCTCCCCAACAGGGATCTGAAGGACAGGGTGGGGCAAACTTCCCTGGAGCATCTGCCTGGCCTTTGGTCTTTGGTGTTGGCCTCTACCCTGTTGTCCTCTGCTGTCAATCTCAGGCCTGCTGGGGCTGCCAGCATCTGGTCCATGCTCGGCACTCTGGGCTCTGGGGAAACTCGGAGTGCCCATGTGAGGCCATCACACACGTGCCATAAGTTGTTTCTGGTGCCATCTTGCAGCTCTCTCGGGCCCTGAGAAGAGGGGATAGAAGACCTAGAGGTCTTGGTGGGAGCAACTGTAGGCTCCTCAACTCCCACGTCTTCAGACGTCGGGGGGATCTGTTGGTTCTCCCTAAACGCTAGGACTCAGCCTGAGGGGCTGACTGGTCACAGTGCCTCCTCACTGAGCTATGTACTCACACTGCATCTTTTCTCTGCTCAGTTCTTCTCTCCTGGACAGCCACCCCCCCCCACAGAAGCATCTTTGTCTCCTTAATCATGTAACTGAGCACATTGTTCCTCTCTCAGGGTCACTCTGTGACCTTTGCAGAGGCATGGGGGAGGTTTGGCTGCCCCCACCCCCTGGCTCTCTTGGGCTGCAGGGGTGGCTGTCCTTGGGGCATTTCTGTCCTGGCTCCCCACCCAACCTGCGTTATTGTAATATGGGTCGTTCCCAAGAATCCTGGGTGCCATGCAGATGCTGCAGCGTCACTTGAGAGATGATTACTTCTCTTTGGTAGTAGTTAAGGCTGTTTAGCTTATAGTCATCCTTTCCCTTATCCTCTCCCTCTCTCCCACTCCTGAGAATAACAGAAATAAGTCCAAAGTCTTCTTGAATTATACCATTTAGAATTGGAAGCACAAACAGGCAGTCCCTGAAATAGAAGTATATTTGTTTCACACAGCTGGAATTCCTGGATACAAAGCTATTATGATGGCTTCAAGGCACCTTTGGGGACCCTGGCTCTTTCTCCCTTTCCCTTCTGCTGTCCTTAGCAGGTAGCCCTCTTCCTCATGGTCACGACTTTGTGGTCTCAACAAGATGGCTGTGTTTCCTCCAGATGTCAAATCTACAATGCAGCTAGAAAGAGGAAAGAAGGCAGTGAGGGCTGGCCTTTTAATTCCAGAACAGAGGAGCCCCCCAGGCTTCCAGCTGTGTCTCAATGACCAGGATTGCAGCATTTGCCCACCCTTAGCTTCAAGGGAGACTGGGAAATCAAGTATACTGGCTTTTCTTCCTCAAAGGTAGAGGGAAGCAAGGGAAAAGGGGTTTGAGGATGGATTTTGAACAGCTAACCCATAATGGCTGCCAAAAGCCAGGTAGAAACCCTTGGAGAAGGAGCAATAAAGCTGTTTCAAAAGCTGGTATTAGTTTGTGATGCCACAGGATTACAATTTATTTAGCTTTTAGTTTAAAAACTCTTGCTGATTCAGATCATTAATTACTGAGGAATTGGTTTGGTGGGGTTTGAGCAGTTTCTATGAAAAAAGAGATTACAATATCAATTAATAGTGTAATAGTAGAAGTAAGATATGGTAGGAACCATATTGTGCAGTCTTAGGGAACAAACTTTTTAAGCCCTTTAGAAGAAATCTCATGAAAACAGTTGATGAATTATATAATTTTAAATTCTTCTTTTCTTTTGGGTAAGGCTGCATTACCCCCTGCTTGCCAAAACATGCTGGAAATGTTTTATTGGCTTAATTTCGTGATTCTTATATGTATATGAAAGTAATAAAACTGCATTTCTTTAAACATATTTTGTAATTTAGAGCTTTCATAAATTCATGCTGGCTTTACTTTCCAGTGTGCAAAAAATTAGATTCTACTGCATATTGATCATATCGTGGTAAGAATATTGAAACAGTATGAATGTTCATTTAAGGGAAAAGCTTAAGGTGGCAGAAGGTAAAGGAAATAAGGAAGGAACAATATCAGGCAGGTGGTTGCATTAATCAAAGATCAGCAAACTACTGTCCATGGACCAAATGCAATCTGATGCTTTTCTAAATTAAGTTGTATTGGAACGCAGCCTACCCATACTGTTACATATTGTATGGGTGCCGTCATGCTAGTGGTAGAGTGACACGCTAGTTGTAACAGAGACCGCGTGTCCCACACAGTTGAAAGTATTGGCTGTTTGGTTCGTCCAGAAAACATTTGCCAGTCCCTGTATGATCATGGGTGATTCTGTGATAGCTCAACACAGTAACTGGGTTCCACTTCCCCTCCATGTCGAAATCAATTTAAAGTTTAGGTAAAAATAAAATAAAATAAGTAATTTAACAGAAATGCATCTAGAACTTCCATTGGGATATTTATTTTCAAATAAAAAGCAACGGGTTCCATTTCTGTCTTTGGCTTCCACCAAAAGAGAGATGCTGTCACCATGTTGGCATATTGTCAACGGCTCTAAGCACAACAGGGGCCCTGAGTTTGCCCTCTGCTGGCTCTGTGCCCTTGAGCA